GGGATTTTGCCTCAAAAACTAAGAATGGATAGTGCTAGAGGACTCCTTGCATGGAACTGTAGTCTCCACATGCACACGAAAAGACACCACATGCACGCACATACATGCACAGACACCGATAAACAACACACAAATAGACCTGGAGTGGTTGCACAGGCCCTTAATCCCAGTACCTGCAAAGCAAAGACAGGCCAGTCTCTGTGAGTTCTAGGCCAGCCTAGTCTATATAGTGAGACACTGCCTCAAAATAAATAAATAGCCAAAACAAAAATGATTACAAAAAGGAAACGTTGCAGATATTGGGGTTCAGGGAACCAGGACCAGGACCAGTCTGAGTCACTATTACCCCCGATTTGATAGCCAAACCTAAGAGTTGAAAAGAACCAGAAGGCAAGAAGGCACCTTCTAGGACCCGTGTTCCCTACTTATCCTATTCCCTTTGTTGATATGGCCTAGAGTCACCTGAGAGGAAAGCCTCAACTGGGGAATTACCAGGATCAGATCACCCTGTGTACATGTCTCCTGGGAATTGTCTTCACTGTTAATTAACAGAGGAGGGCCAAGACCACTGTGGGTGGCACCATTCCCAAGGCAGATGTCCTGAGCTGTATGAGAAAGCAGATGGGCATAGCAAGAAGCATCCCTCATGGTTCCTGCTGTCCTTCTCTGGCTGTGAAGCAAGTTCCTTGGCCAAAGGTCGTGCTGTACGGAATGGGAAGCAGGCCTGCCTTCAGGGTCCTGCCTTGACTTCAGCAGAGAAAGTGCCACAGGGCACTTTGCAAGGGTCTCCCACATGGGCTTCCTGTCAGACTCACTGGAACTCAGTGGAGATCATAATTTTGTGATCCTCTTGCCTCAGCCTCTACAGTAGCTGGGAAGTCTGACCTGCACCAAAAGGCTGGTGAACTGTTTACCTTGTAAGCAAACATAAATAAAAACGCCTACAAAAAGACTGAATCAGCCAGGCGTTGGTGGCGCACGCCTTTAATCCCAGCACTCGGGAGGCAGAGGCAGGCAGATTTCTGTGAATTCCAGGCCAGCCTGGTCTCCAGAGCGAGTGCCAGGATAGGCTCCAAAGCTACACAGAGAAACCCTGTCTCGAAAAACCAAAATAAATCAACTAGGAAGACAAAGGGATAGGAGCCAAAAGGCTGGGACTTGGATTATAAGATTCCAAAGCAGGACAACCACAATGCACAGTTAGGCAAATGTCTCATGGGTATGGCATTAAGGTGAACACAGAAGCTAAGCACTAGAAAAATGTTAGTAACTTCTGAGGGAAGCTGATGGTCCACAGGTCCTTTATTTTGCTGTCAAGATTGCACTGACATTCACAACAGGTTCTAGAACGACCAATTTCCAGATAATAAAAACACTCTGCAGTTATGTATTTCTAAGATATATAGATAGATATATAGATAGATATCCTATCATGTTACGTATAAGTAAGACTCAAATAATATCTTTTTTTATTTTAAAACTTCATGAGTGTTTTGCCTGCATATACGTCTGTGTAGAAGACCCTGCCTGGTGCTGGAGGAGGCAAGGAAGCATCAGACCTCATGGAACTGTAGTTACAGACAGTCATGAGCCAACACAGGAATGGGGGTGGGGTCAAAATGGGGGTGGGGAGCCAGTACTAAGACATCCCTCCAACCTCCCAAAGAACACCTTGATTAAAAAGGGGCCGAAAGCAAGTGGACCATCTGTGAATAATCCAGTTAGACCAAGATGTCGTAAAACTGCATCTTTATTCCGGGCATAAAATGGATGGCCCAGAGAGCATTTTGACTGGAACAGATGAGAAACAACAATGCTGTCACATTCCACGTCGTATGTCGAAGGTACTGTGCAAGTCCCCAAAACACAAGGCAGCTCTCAGAAGCAATTTTATCCAGTTTTCTCAAAAAGTTCCTTGAAAAAAAAAGAGTTCATTTGTCCGGAGACCTGGGGACCAGCCAGGCTCTTCCTACATTATTGAAAAGGCGCGAACAAAGGGATCCGTTCGGATCAGGATCACATGCCGTCTGTCTGTCCCTTCAGTACTGTGGAAATGCCGCATCAATTTTGGTGGCCCAGGCCATGAGTCCCCCGACAATATCCCGGACGGTTAGAGAGCCCAGCTCTGGCACTGCCGTTAAGGACTGCAGGACCCTGACGGCTTTCTGGGAGTCATTCCCCTGTTTGCAGATGACATACACGGACAGAGCAGCCCCTTCCCGCGACCTCCGCTTCTCTCCCCGGAGGGCGTCCCCCAGGAGCGCCAGGCTGTCGGCATCCCCGCGTTCCAGCTTGCTCAGGGGGATGGCAAGGGCGTGCGGCAGGCGGCAGATGTCCACCTCAGCTTGGGGCCGGACGTCCAGCAGCACGTGGGGCGCCCCGCCGTCCAGGAGCCGCTTGTACTCGGTCACCGAGATCCGCTCGTCGGGGCCCAGGAGCTTCAGGGCCC